CATGCCCAGCACGTGTAATGATGTCCTTCTTGTCGTTGCTATCCAGCATGGCCTCATCACATAAGCTTGCACGCCCATCCTGCCTGTGCAGACCCACGAGAGAGGGGGGGGCTGTATTGGGGCTACATCACGCGCATCGCGCCAAGCCTGCAGGCCATGCTGGAACAGTGCCCCTTCTACGGCGGCTACAGCCTGACCGTGGGCACCTCGGGTAAGGCACTGGGTTCCTTGTGCAATGTTTTGATTCTGTGGTTGTAGCCTTCTCTGCGATTGCACCCACCTCGCACACGCCGAGGCAACAGCACATGCTGCACTCCGCTTGTTGCCTTGTTGCAGAACGAGGCGAGCGCACGCCAGCCTGCCAGCTGGACTTGGGCGCCTTTCGGCACCTGCTGGTCGTGTTTGGCGGGCCACAGGGCCTGGAGTATGCGCTGCAGCACGATGAACTGGCCAACAAACACGGTTGTCCCAGCGAGCTGTTTGACAGGCAAGCCAGCAGCACTTGTGTTTGAGAGAAGGGCAATAGAGGTTCTGCTGCTGCCGGGCGCCGGCCTCTCGATCTGCCGCAAGCAGCGTGGGTGCTTGTGGCTGCAGGTACCTGAACACGTGCTTCGACCAGGGCAGCCGCACCATCCGCAGCGAGGAGGCCATCCTCATCTCCCTAGCCTTCCTGCAGCCTGCAGTCACTGCCGCCACCGCACCGCCGCAGTAGCACACGGCCATCTCGTGCGTGGACTGCTGACTTGAGACATCGAAATTTCACACTTTACAAGGCATACTGCCTCCCTGGCCACCCAGCCTTCCTGACACCGGCGCCCCGGCATGCGACTGCTCCAGCACCTATGTGCGGCGGCTTGTCAGCAGAGCGCTGAAGAGAGCTGCATCCCCAGGGCAGTGCTACCTATTCACCGGTTGACTTTGCGTGCCCAACATGCTGGGACTGTCTGGGAAGTCCTGCAACAGATTTTGCCTGCAGTTTGGGGGCGCCCCTATTGAAGGGCAAAGCCCTGCATGGGAAACCACCCGGATGATGGCTCACCGAATGCACAAGGCAATGACTTCCCTGCGTTCCAAAATCGGTTGGGAGTTTCCCTGGTTGCTATGGGCAGCATACATGTGTTCCACGCCGCTGCTGCAATGCGGGCCTTCAGCAGGGAGCAGCGGCAGCAGGGGAAAAGCATCGCCTTTGTGCCTACCATGGTGAGCCCACATCAATGCAGAGGTTGGGCTGCTCCGCCCTCATGTCCTGCGCTCCCATGGATGTCCGCGCCATGTGGCCCGCGGCCTGCAGGGCTACCTGCACGAGGGCCACATCTCGCTAGTGCGAGCTGCGAGGTGGGGGAAGGCGATCGAGAGTGCGAATGTGATCCGGCCGCCCGCCAAGCCACCCGCCGCCACCGCCCAGCCAACGCTGCCCTCCTTCTCTCTGCATTGCGCAGGGAGCGCTGCGACGTGGTGGTGGCCTCCATCTACGTCAATCCCACCCAGTTTTCCAGAAACGAGGACTTTGGGGTGTACCCGCGCAGCGAGGCAAGCGCACGGACTCCGATCTCTGGCTGAACGCCGCTTCCTGGCGCCAGGATGGTGCCAGCCATTCCGCTGCAGCAGCTCGCGCCTGCTCCTGCGCGTGCCCTGCAGGACGAGGACCTTCGCAAGCTGGCAGAGGCAGGGTGTGCGGCAGTGTTCATGCCGCAGTCCCTGTACCACGCAGGCAGCAGCGCCAATGGCGGAAGCAGCTCGGATACGGGCATGGTGGTTGGGGCAAGTGAAGGGTACGACCCGCAGGCACACGAGACCTGGGTCAGCCTGGACCACCTGTCGCAGGGCCTGTGCGCCAAGACGCGGCCACACTTCTTCAGAGGCGTCTGCACGGTGGGCCGCGCCGAAGGCTTGCCAGCAATGCGCCTGTCAGCAGCGCATGCCCTTGGCAGCAAGCTGCCACCCCCCTTACCTGCTTGTGCGCCGTGCCGCGGCCGCCGGCCAGCGCAGGTGGTGGCCAAGCTGTTCCACATCGTGGAGCCGGACGCTGCCTTCTTCGGCCGCAAGGACTACCAGCAGTGGCGCGTGATTGAGCGTATGGTGCGGGACCTGGACATGGCGGTGGAGGTGGTGGGCATGCCCATCCTGAGAGAGCCAGATGGGCTGGCCATGAGCAGGTAAGCAGAATGTGTTAACATCTGCAGGTTGGGGGGTGAGGGAGCAGCAGGGATGCAGGTGCATCCAGCCGCGGCGGGCGATCTGCCCACATGCGCATACTGGGGCATGGCTGCTGTGCATTGGCCCCTATGTGTGGCCCCTCCTCCGACCGACTTGCTGCCCATGTCATGGCCTGGCCACCCCACGCTCTGCAGCCGGAATGCGCTGCTGGCTCCTGAGGACCGCCAGCGCTGCGTGTGCATCTCACGGGCGCTCACCCAGGCGCGGGAGCAGGCATGCGCTTGCACCACGACTGACGCAGCGCAGTTGCAGCAGCAGATTGTGGACCAAATAGCGGCGGGCGGCGGGCTTGAGGACTATGTTGAAGTGGTGGATGCCCACACGCTGCGGCCCCTGGCAGGGGATGTGCGAGGGAGGCACGTGCTCATCGCGGTCGCCGCTCGGTTCGGCAACGTGCGGCTGATTGACAATGTGGAGTTTGGCTGAGATTGAAAATATAGAACTGTGGAAAGCCCGTGCCTAGCAAAGAGACACCGAACCAACATGCTGAAATGGCTGAGATCAGTCCAATTGTTGTTGTTCTGCCGGTTGATGGCGAGGTAGCTGGCGGGCGCAGCATTCAGGGCCACTTCCCTGCCGCAAGCCATTGGGCCATTACAAACGAATGGGCTGAAGAAGGCATGCAGAACAGGTGTGGTAAAGCGGGCGCATATCAGTGCTCTGGGGGCGTGGGTCAAGCCGGCGAAACGCCGGCGCCAGCGCTGGCGCCGGCGCCACCGGTGATGCACGGTCAGGATGCCTCGATCAGCACCTGCTGAAGGCTGCCTGCGCGCCCTGCTTGGAGGCCCTGCTGGCGTCGCACCCTTGCCGGGCGCTTCGGCTGTTTGTCAGGGGAGGCAGGGGCAGCGGTGGCTCGGCGGTGTGCGCCCACCTCGTCCACCAGCTCTGGGCTGCCTGCCCCGCTCTCCAGCTGCTCCGCGTGCGCTGCTGCTGCCGTCAGCGACTCGTACACTTGGGAGCACAGGTGGTCGCGCAGCATGTTGGGCGAGATGAGGAGGCCCTCCGCTGCAATGGTTCAGTGCATCATTTGTTTGCCCAAGCTAACTACTACTCCATGAAGCTGCCTGGTGTCCTGGTGTCCACAGAGCCTGCTGCTGGCTTCTCACCAACAAGATCTTGTGGAGTGATCCACACTGCGTCGAACTCCTTGTGCTGGCGCGTCTTGATGGGCCGCAAAAACAGCAGTCGCCCTGGGGGGTACATGCTGAGCGGCTGGCCGATACGTGCCGCGCCGATACGTGCCGCGCCGAAGGCTTGCCAGCAATGCGCCTGTCAGCAGCGCATGCCCTTGGCAGCAAGCTGCCACCCCCCTTACCTGCTTGTGCGCCGTGCCGCGGCCGCCGGCCAGCGCAGGTGGTGGCCAAGCTGTTCCACATCGTGGAGCCGGACGCTGCCTTCTTCGGCCGCAAGGACTACCAGCAGTGGCGCGTGATTGAGCGTATGGTGCGGGACCTGGACATGGCGGTGGAGGTGGTGGGCATGCCCATCCTGAGAGAGCCAGATGGGCTGGCCATGAGCAGGTAAGCAGAATGTGTTAACATCTGCAGGTTGGGGGGTGAGGGAGCAGCAGGGATGCAGGTGCATCCAGCCGCGGCGGGCGATCTGCCCACATGCGCATACTGGGGCATGGCTGCTGTGCATTGGCCCCTATGTGTGGCCCCTCCTCCGACCGACTTGCTGCCCATGTCATGGCCTGGCCACCCCACGCTCTGCAGCCGGAATGCGCTGCTGGCTCCTGAGGACCGCCAGCGCTGCGTGTGCATCTCACGGGCGCTCACCCAGGCGCGGGAGCAGGCATGCGCTTGCACCACGACTGACGCAGCGCAGTTGCAGCAGCAGATTGTGGACCAAATAGCGGCGGGCGGCGGGCTTGAGGACTATGTTGAAGTGGTGGATGCCCACACGCTGCGGCCCCTGGCAGGGGATGTGCGAGGGAGGCACGTGCTCATCGCGGTCGCCGCTCGGTTCGGCAACGTGCGGCTGATTGACAATGTGGAGTTTGGCTGAGATTGAAAATATAGAACTGTGGAAAGCCCGTGCCTAGCAAAGAGACACCGAACCAAC